CATTTTCAGATATCTCCTGGCATTCGAGCCGTTAAGCCCAACGATATGGTTTATCGAGTGACACAATTACGGATTTCATACTCTAATCCTATCGGCGATCCAGAGCCCGACAGAGAAATCGTACACATGTGTTACTATCGGTCGGTTTGCACGATTTATGCAACTGCAAGTACATCGCCGTGACATACATCCTTCAGACGCGAAATTTTGCAGGTGGCCTGATGGATGTTTACCAATACCATGGCCTGTGACTACAGCATCATATGCGGCCACAGCGCTGCGAATTATTGATATAGTCGAGAGGGTCAGTTTTAACTGAAAGAGAGCGTTATGAGCTGAAAATCGTCAAAAAAAGTTGGAAAAATATAACTGGAGGCGCTATCGCAGCATAAGGAGGCATCCTACAGGAGAAGCCTGGGGGTTGCAGGAATCTCAGAAGAAACGAAAATATTCACGAACCTGGCATCTCTCCTCCCCCGCCTTGGAGCTTGGTCTATTTTCTACAAAAGGGAGATGTTTTACGATGTCTGAATGCATTGCCACTACAATGCCCCCGTATCTTGCGATAGCACCTACCTAGTTGTTCGAAACCTTTCGGGATGCTAATACGCACTCTCCTCGCCAGTATAAAAACATGTTCTGCGGTTAGAAGGCGAAAAAATTACGCTTGCGCCAGAGAGCAACTAAACGTGCTTGTGCTATTTGGTCCACTAGTCATGGAAAAAATGACTGCGATCCCTCAAAATTACTTTGGGCACTGACGAGTTTTTCGCTCCGCCTCAGTGGAGTGTCATTGGTCAGCCCGTATGATTTCAGGAGCTTCATGTAGTTTTTCTCGCATTCTTCCATCACAAGTGGACCATTTATCACGACTACTTTCCTCTTGGAACATAATGAACTGAAACTGTCACTCCTTGCAGAATGTGCCTTTACCCGAATCGATCGATTTTGCGAACACTCCGCCCCTTCTACTTCCGTCCCGTAGGAGTGCTCTACAATTGTGCGCAATGGGGTGTCCGATCTTATTGGTTGGTATAGTGATTGCACTTTCAGGAGCTGCCACAATCCTCATCTTCGTTGTTAGTCCATTGTCACGCTGGACTCGGTCGCACTGGAGTTTTCATCGCTCTCGACGTCGCTTTGAGACAATTATATCAAAACAATACAGTGAATATAAAGGTAATCACATATTGCGGAGGGGAGCACAGTTACAATGACCCGGGTTCTGAGATTGAGCGCCATCAGACTTGTAGGCACGCCATCACCAGAAATGCGCCTCTGCCCCATGTGGCTCCTATGGTATGGGTGTTACCGCGAAGAAGGGAAGGGGGTATTTTCGGTTCGTGCGACCAGTGTTTCCAATGAGGCAGGACAGGGAAGCTCCAGAATTGGTGAGCTAGTCTTTTGTACAGAGGGGTAACCACGGAAGTATTACTTCTTCTGAATGTAAGAGAGAAAATTTCTGTAAGGCTTTTCGATGTCTTAAGAAATTCGAAAAGGTGCTCTTTTCACCATTAGGTGCTCTTCAAAAAATGCCCCTTTTCCACCCTCTCCTTCATAGGAATCAACCCAGAACGTGTTTTTATACAGCTAATCTGACAAAGTAACAACCTCAAAGGAAATTTCTCCCGTCCGCGGCCGGGAGGTTGAAGGGACTCTTCGCGGTTAAAGTGGTAAATTAAAAAAATTGAAATCAGGGGTGCGAAATGTGGACCATCAATGAGAGGAAGACATACATCGCCGAAAACAAAAAAGGAGCTCGTTTTGTTGGATGATGCGCGTGTTTACAAGACAGAGAGACATGTGCAGTCTAACCATAAGAGGCACTGTACGTGAGGTAGACAGAGAACAGGCATCGAGACGGCAGAGATACAATCCGGACATGAGTCTTGGCGGCGGAGCCACGGGTAAGGTGTGGAGTCATATGTGTACCGTTGGGCTCTAACACCCCTGGATTGCACATTAGGGATACGAAATAGATATATCACGGACACTTGTGGACCGCTCTACCTTCCTCGTGCAGGATTTGGTTGCAATGAAACAGTCGTGGAATGTGCCTTTAAGTATACTACAATTTCCTTTACAGGGCGTGGTAGAGAAAATTCGAGAAAAACGTGCACGAGCAGTGATGAATCCGTGGCAGTACGCTTACATTAATGTGGTAGTTGCTGAGAAGGTTGGTTTTTTTTATCTAATCCTCCACGCGACTACGTTTATACTTCATTAGTCGATTCAGGCATTACAATGTGGCGCGTTGTCTTCATGTGTAGGTGGCCATAATGTTCGACAGTTAATTGATCGAATGTGGACGGATTTGTTTGACGAAGTTCACCGTCAGTTTCAGGGAAACATACTGACATATACCCCAGAAATGATGTATTCGAGCTAAAAAAAACTTATAAGCTCGATTGTGCTAAAGCACTTAATAAACATTTGAACGTTTTCTGTGTTCCATGACAGAAAGGAATGGTAAAGCCATGTGTTCATACTTAGCGTTTTGGGAGATTTGGAGAATACGCGACGAAGGAAAAATATTCAAGGGAAAGCGCTAGAAGAAATATCGATCCATTCGGCTGCCCAAATTCCAAAGAGACACGCCGGCGACCTAGCATGGCCGTCCCCGCGCCGCTATCGCCGCGGCACGCCCCCTCTCGCTGTCTGACCTCTAGCCGTTTAGCAGAGAGAGCGTTAGCGTTGAAGAGGGCAGCACCGATGAGAGTCGCATCAATGCGGAAATCAACGGGCAAGAAGGGGTCCCATTTCTCGGTTCTGGGCCGTTTCTCATGGTTTTCCTTCACACCGGTACCACTGATCCACATCTGCCTTGATTTCTAAGGGGCTGACTTTCAATCAAAAAGTGGAAGTGTCAGCGCCGCCCGCGCCGCATCGCAAGCCCCACGATCAATACTAGCTGGCAGCTGCTCTGCTCCTGCAGTCATGTGTCTATGTGGGCGTGGTGCGCGTGAAACTGTAAATTGCAGTTGGGTACCCGTCAGGAGGCCCGTCGCGCGGCAAGAAGGCAGAGTCAGGGGACGAGTCGCAGCGCGTGATGTGCGATGTAGGACGTACAATGGACATTCTATTTAACTTGACGCGAAATCCCTACAGTACGCGCTGCGACTCGTCCGCTGACTGCCTTGTTGCCGCGCGACGGGCCTCCTGTCGGGTACCGTGGTAGCTAGACGAAGCGTGCAATCATTGATTGCTGATCTCAGAATTCGCAGACTTTAAGCTGACGTACTGGCCACAACGCGCATCTTTAGATCATGGAGTGGATATAATAGCGCGCTCAGTTGAGAAAAGCGCGCTCCGTTCTCATTGGTTTGAAAAACCGTTGAAAGAACTCCACAAATGGCGTTATTATCGATTAGTTTCTACTTCATGAATTGTGTTATTATATTGCATTCCGCATTATGTATTTGGTAGCAC